CCTCCTCCTCCTGCTGCTGCTGCTGCTCCTGCTGCTGTTGCTGCTGTTGCTGCTGCTGCTGCTGCTGCTGCTGGTCGGTGATAGCAGCAAGTACGGTGGATTCGCAGCAGCAGATGGGGGCCCCATTGAGGTGTATAGGCAGGTGGTGGGGTGTATCTTCTTTGCTGCTGATGGGGGGCCCCCCCAGCTGCCCGCTTTTATTTAAACCAAAAGACAGAGGGGGGGCCCCCCGCTGCAGTATTATGCTGTAGTGAGGACCGCATGCAGCACCTGTATATACACCTGATAAAGAAGAAGAAGAAGAGACAGAAGGAGAAGAAGCAGAAGAAGAGGAGACAGCAGAAGAGACAGAAGGAGAAGAAGAAGAAGAAGAGACAGAAGAAGAAGAGGAGACAGCAGAAGAGACAGAAGGAGAAGAAGAAGAAGAAGAGACAGAAGAAACAGAAGAAGAGACAGAAGAAGAAGAAGAAGAAGAAGAAGAAGAAGAAGAAACAGAAGAGGAGACAGCAGGAGAAGATAAAGAAGAAGATGATGATGATGATGATAAAGAAGAAGAAGAAGAAGAAGAGACAGAAGAAGAAGAAGATAAAGAAGAAGAAGAAGAGACAGAAGAAGAGACAGAAGAAGAAGAAGAAGAGAAAGAGGAGACAGCAGAGGAGACAGAAGAAGAAGAAGGAAGAGATAGCTGGTGAGGTGTACATAGAAAGGGAGAAGCAGAGAAAGAAGGGCCCAGGCCGAGCTCTCCGTGTATATTACAACCCCAAACAAACACAGCATCTCCTTCTTCTTTTTCTTTTTCTTTTTCTTTTTCTTTTTTTTCTTTTTTTTGTTTTTTTTGTTTTTTTTGTTTTTTTTGTTTTTTTTGGTTTTGGTTTTGGGGATTGTCTGTCTCTTCTTCTGTCTCTTCTTTTGCTTTTTTTATTCTCTTTAGGGGGGGTGCTTCATCTTCTGCTTCTCCATCTATACTCCTGCTGCTGCTGCTGCTGCTGCTGCTGCTGCTGCTGCTGCTGCTGCTGCTGAGTGTTTTACGTGTACAGATAGCTAGAGAGGAGTATCTATTAGCATGAATAGAAAGAACAGAAAAAATA